AGCTAGTTAACAGCTAACTAAACATCTGACAGCTTTGTTTACAACTTCCTGGTATTTAACGGCACTTCCTGAAACTATCTTTAAACGACTCCAGACTTAACTTTGATTGGATACACATTATGCCGCTTGGCCAGTCAGTGCGTTTGTCCTATACAATTGGGCGGGGCTATGGTTTTGTCGGTGTTAAAGGGGCGTTTTTGACATTTTGAAGTAGTGGTACTTTTTAAAACAGACAACAGAAACGACAATTTTAGGAGAATCTGTTATTGTCAAAATACAAGCCAAGGCTAATGCATTTCCAGTGCATTGTGCCAAACGATGCAATTAGTGTTGTGTTTTGAAGGCCTGGCTAGCAAGCCAACGCTAAGTTTAGACTTCCTGACAAAATGAGGACATTTTTTTAGATATAGTTGAGGATAATTAGCTATTGCATCCAGTAACACATTAGTTATACTGTCACATTAATTCAGTATGATGCCATTTGTCTCCGGTCAGTGTCTTACTACCCTGGAATAGGCTATCTTCACATTGCAGCTGACCTACAGTATCTTCCTAAATACCAGAGGAAACGGTGTAGCGTCAAATGTGCTTTTCTGTTTTTTTAGAGGGGGAGGGGGAATTTAATAAAACTTTAATAAAACCCGTACCCACATGAATCCGACCCATGTGTACATCCATGCCTGTCCTGCGCACTGGACAGCCAGCCCCTCCACCTCCGCTCGGTTTCCTCCGCTCGGTTTCTTCTTTTGTCTCTTCAGCAGGGGCGAAAGGAGACCAGTTTAGTTAGACCAGAGAACGGGCTGCTGCAAAAGCACTACCCGCTCAAGGCAAATGCATAAAAAAACACAACTTTTTGGAGTGCTAACTGACAAGCTATCGCTATTTTTAAGAGGGGAATGAATCTCCTTTTACTTGAAGTTGTCTGCACCATAACCGGTTTTGAGGAAGCGGTGAGGCGCGACGGCGGATGGGAACGTCGAGCAGCAGCAGCAGCAGCGCCAAACTCACAATGCGCCCGGAGTGAAGAGAGGCAAAGAGACAATACAGATCCACGGGCACACTGAGGAGCTGCAAATCTCATCTGGGCTCTCTGGTTCTTTTCTAAAACCTCTTCCAGCGTGGCATTTCCCTCCTGCGCGGCTGATTTAGTGATTGATTGAGACAAAACTGACTTCGCAGCGAGGGCAAGTGGTTGATCTGCAAACTCAGCCATGACGTCTCCGGCGAAATTCCGAAAGGACAAGGAGATAGTGGCCGAATATGAAACTCAAGTTAAAGGTAAAACTTTTTTGTAAAGCTTCTCATATATTAAATTGTAGAACAAGCTTAAGCAGTATAGCCCTAAATCTGCGCTTCTTTACTAAATGGTGTGTTTTCCTTGACTTGGCTGATTTCATGGTTTGCTGAACCCTCACCTCTCCAATCAGGCGTAAAGGGTACGCTTGCCTTTATATTACAACCATTAATGAACGTTAATTGTCATTATGCGGACGTGGCAGATCAATAATATACCAATTATTGCAATGATAAATTGGATATCGTGGTTAGTGTGTTTTCAAGCGTGTGATCTCTCGCCTTTAACGCAGCACGCAGATGGCCAACAGAGAAAGAAAACGTTCACAAATCAGCACTGTTACCCAGATATGGCCTCTATATGGTCTCTAGAGAAAGAATCGTATGTAACGGTGGTATGTGTATGTTGTGTCGACTACCCAGAGGGCTGGGGTTTCGACATGGAACAAGGCAGGGCGTTTTCTCTCCCTCTGTGTCTCCAGCATGTCTGTACTGCTGGTGTGCACTGCTGGTCGTTCATGCTGCAAGCATGGCAGAGTGTGCATGGTATTAACGCAGATTGCAATTAAGTGATCAGTTTGCGCTAATTTGTGCCTGTCTATCGATCACGGTGCATTGCTGTCGCCTCTGCCGATGATAAAGGAGATCAGAGATGAGCAGGGGCAGGAGAGCAGATTGTAGTAGTTAGAAAGGGGCGCTCAGTTAACTGTTTACTGGCTGACGTGTGTCTGTGTGTGTGTGTGGACGTTTCTGTCCTTAGACAGGCACAGTTTTTAGCTGGGCACTGTCAGGCAGAATGAATCCTTAGCAGATCTATACAGGCACTGATATTTACTGTAAACGGGGTGGAGGGGGAAGCACAGAGGTGGCAAGAAGGGGAAGAGAGAGGACAGGATATTGTCCGCCACATAAACATGTTTCCACTGCTTCTGCAGTGCCTGATCACTAGATAAGATGGGCCACCACCTGCCTGTTATCACTACCGCTTTTCGTTTCCGTTTAGCAACAGGACACCAGTTCTCCCAGTCATGTCACCTCATGGCCCTCCTGTTCTGTAGGGCTGGCATAGACACACCTGTTGAGAGATATCCTAAAGCGTTACGTTGTCAAACTGGATCTTCGGGTGTGGTTATCCAGGTGGACGACTCATTAAAGGAAAGCCTTGTAGGAAGGTATTAATCCACAAAAAGCCAAAAGCTGCTTTAGTGCCCATGGATCAGATTCAACAGGTGGCTGAAACTACTGGAGAGATGAGATAGTTCTTCAAAACAGTATGCAGAGGTGTTGGCTTGGGTTGAGAGCCCATGATTACAAAAGCCAGGTTGTATGATTAATGCCAGTTTCACATGTCAAACCTTCCCGTGATCCTTCTCAGGCCTTAAATAAAAGTATCTGAATTTATGTTTTTTCACTTCAAGTTTTTTTCCTTTAATTTGTCACTTATCAGTTGAGCTAGTGGACAGTCATGCGTGGGGTAACTTGACTCAGCTCACTGTTTATCACCTTTTCCTCTTGTTTACCTGCCTATCCGGAAACTCCTGTAGCTGTCACCACAGTGACATTAGTGTTGTTGTCTCCATGTCCCCGTAGACTGCTGTTTATGCTTGGAAGCCTTTATAAAGTCTTTTGGTCCGTGCTGCATTGTGAGCGCTGCCTGCTGTGTTTGTCAGACCGTGGACCTTTTTGTCCACTGACCCTCTTTATCAGTTCCTCCCGTCACTTATTCCACTGCACCCTACTGAACATCTGTGTTGCTCTGTCCACACGGTTTTCCACATAATGACTTTGCTATCTGGAATGAACCGGTGAAAGGATAAACCCATGCATCCACATAACTGAGGTGTGTGTGTGTGTGTGTGTGGATGGGTGTGTAGAGTCATCTAAAGATGCCATGTGTCTGCTGTGACATTCCCAGCAGTCTGCCTTCTCTAGGGAACAGTCTGTCATTACCCCGTGTACTGCTGTTAGAGATTCTCTAATGAAGGGTGTCAAACAGCCACACATGAAGCAGCTATACATCACATATCTGTCTCCCCTTGTGTTTGCTAACATCTCTATCTTGTTTCCCAACTCGGTAATAATCCGCTCTGCCCTTTCAGTCCAGCTGAGGAATCAGATACCTGGATGTCTCTGCTCTAATCAGGCATCAGTCAGAAATATACTGCAGTCTGATGGTGCAGCATCATAGGGAAAATGTATATAAATCCTCCCAAGTTCTGCAGCAGGAGAAAATGAAGGATGCACATGCTAACATGCACTTAGACAAGGGCTTGGCAGAGTAACTCAAGCACTTGATGACTACATGTCTGCACACCTGCCTCTCAGAATAGGAAGGAGGTACAGTTGGCCACTGATGGAGACTGTAGCACTCTCATACTCTCCTGTAGCATCATTGTACTGCATTCAAGACAGTGAGATCTATGTATTCCCATGCAATTTTAGCATATGCTGGGAAAGCCATCATGTTAGATGTACTCAGGAATTCAGGTGAGGTTGATGAGATAATTTGGCCTCTCATAATGGGACTCAGACTTACATAGCTGACTAATGCTACTATCTGGTTTTTAACCTAATGTGACCTGTCATTTTTCATGATACTTCTGTTTTATTTTGTCAAATCTTGTTCCCTTGTTAAATAAAAAATAAAAAAATCCCTGCAAACTTTGTGAGTTGAGTCTTTAAAGTAGGTACGAGGATGTCACTGGACACTGTCGCCTCACCTGTTGACAGGGAGCTGAAAAATATTGCTTTTTTTTTTTAAAGATGGATGGAGTTCCTAGAAAAATCAGCTAGAGGAAGCTCGATTTTGAAAGTAGACAACTGAAGAAATCCCTCCCTTTTGTTCCTTTTGTTCTGACTTTTCTCCAAAGCCACTCTGCCAAAAACACAAAGCACACTGCAATGCATACTGCAACATGCACTGCCCAACTGCCTTGCTTACAGATTTCAGGAAAATACCAGTATACAAAACCAGTATACAGCCACTTTTCAAGCCACTTTTGTTCTTTCAATTATCCCCACCATTCAAAAGTCACACCAGTGTTAATTCTGGTTTTACTTCTTGCAGCATCCAACTTCTTTTTTTAGTTGTAACCTTCTCTAGTACGGTCTCCATTTGCTACCAAAAGGTGCTGTGTGTGCCTTCTCTGCCACAGCTCACTAGCTCTAGCTATGAAAACAGGGCGGTAACACGTCTGCCTGCATCTGCAACGCCTTGTGGGAGACTGTTGGCTCGCCCAGTGTGTACAAGGGCAGAGCGTGCACTACTGCTGCCACAGATGACGGATGTTTTTCTTTGTCGTCGGTGCATTTAATGTATTCATTGCCATTGGGATGAAAAGAGAATTTTTGCTTCTGAAATGAATCGTCAACAATATTTTAAATGCACACGAAGGCTTGAACATGTCATCTTTTTCTCAGTCAGTTTTATTTCACACAAGCAGAGTGCTGATTCTCTAATATGGGATTCTGGCTGATGCAAGGAATGTTCCTACTGCTCAGGAAGAGGGTCTGTGTGTGTGTGTGTGTGTGAGAGAGAGAAAGTGTGTACGTGCACGTACAAAGTGACTGAAAGGTGAGAGAGAGAGAGTGAGAAAGTGAGAGGGGGAAAAAAGCAGAAAGAAAAACTGCAATGAGAAAGTGAGACATTTAAAGAGGGACTGGAATGTCGTAACGTGCAAATGGTTACACACAGCGCTGAAATGGAATTAAGGAATGAGCTTCTCACCTACCGTTCGCAGTTAACAGAGCGCTTCATTTGGAGTTGACTCAAGTAAACGACTTTGCTTTTAGAAAGAGTTTTTTTTTTTATCACTGCGCTCATCCACCAGCTGTCACCGTCTTGTGTTTACCTGTTAGCTCACTGTATTATTTCAAAGGAAAGCTTTAATTCATGCAGTGGGAAACATTTTAGTGGAAAATTAGAGAGTGCTGAGACTTTATAAACATTTGACAGATGTTTCTTTTTATCTGTCAGGGTTTCACACATCTCGGAATGTTAATAAGTGCTTCCCTTTGCGAATAGACTACCAGTCGAAAGTTTCGAAACACTTTTCCCGTTGACTTGAATGGGGAAAGTGTAGTTGTCACTGATTAAATATGTTGATTATGGCGTTTTGTGCTCAGGGAAGCATGTATGGTGATGGTTGTCTGAATAACGTATTGACCTTTGGACCAAATAGGTACACACAGGATCTCCAAATGGCTGATGTTCCAGACTGGCTAATCAACTCATTCATGTTGTTGATCTCTCTGCCTGAATAGGGATGAGCGCCTGTGGCTATAAACTAAAACTGCGTCTGCCTACGTGCACATTACTAAGCTGCATGTTTACACGGAAGCCAGAGATGATTAGGGATAAATGGCTGCTTTCACTTGCACACAGTAGGAGAGGTGATGATGCAGCAAGAGGTGTGTCTAGAAGCAGGGTTGTGCCTGTTTGTGTGTGTGTGTGTGTGTGAGGTGTGTGGCCTATATTTTTGTTTGTGAGAGAATAAGTTATTGACTGTTGTATGTTTAAACGGGAGGAGTGGGGCCACTGCAGAGGGGTGTTTGGGCACAAATGGTAGGGAGGTTCTGTTTCTTGTTTATTCCAAGCTGTGATGGAGTGAAGAAAGGGAATAATGACAAAACAGAGGGTTGCAGTACTGCAACACTGACCCTTTGCTGCAGTTGGCTTCACATCATTCATGTGTGATTGGAAAACTGTAGGAAGACCTCTTCAAGCTAATCAATTAGAGGCACTTTTAGGGCTTTGTGTGTGCTATTATTAACAACCCCTTGTCAATTAGGGCTGGATTCTATTGACTGAGTCCAGTGGTGCATTTACTGTACCGACCACAAGTCAATCACACTAATCTGCACAGTATTGTTGACTCGTTATATACTGTACCAGTGTGTGGCTGTGCGTTGGTGTGTGTTGGTGAAGTGGAGAGCAGGGCTGCTGGATGTGTGTGTGTTTATATTGTGAGCTGAGTTTAAATTGC